GCTAACCGCTTTGTTGTGGATCAGCAGTCGCGCAACGCGTCGGGCCCCGTGGTCTCGGGCCGGGGGGTTGCGATGGGGGTCGCTTCCGACACCGACCAGTGCCGCCGATGCAAGGCGCACGGACACTTCCAGCGCGATTGTCCCCAACAGGTCCAAAAGAGCCGTCCTAGGCAGGGCAAGAAGAAGGGACCCAACAAGCGAGGAAGTGGTGGGAGTGCACAGCCAAAGTGGTGCTCCTACAGCAACACCAAGACACACAGCAATGCTGAGTGCCAGAAGCAAAAGGAGATCCAGGAAAACAAGCAAATGGAGCTTGAAGGGTTGGCGGCAAACCTGGCGCTCCTGCAGTCAGCTGGCCATGCCAACTTTCTGCAACTCTCCAATATCGGGATTGTTCACCTGGCGCAATCGTCTCCGGCGGTGGTGCAACAGGCTCCGTCAGAGCCGACATTGTTCGGGTTCTCCCTCAACACCCTCGGAACTTCCTTGGCAAAGGTAACCTCGTCTTCTGCCTCTTCACAGCCACCTCCGGCGGCGTCTGCCGCCACACAGGCGGCACCTGCATCTGCCTCATCAACGGCGAGTGCGCAGGACCACCAACTGCCTTCAGGGTTCTTCGGTGCGTTCATGGCAACTCATGCAGAGTTGTCGCTTGCTCCTTTTCGCTCCGACGGATCGTCCATCCCGGACGGAGAACAGTGGAACGCAGCTGCAGAGCGCGAGATTGCGAGTCTCAAGGAACGTCAAGTTTACAAGCTTGTCCCGCGCACGGCAGTTCCCCCAGGGAGGAAGCGGATAAAGTCCAAATGGGTGTTCAAGCTTGTCCCGTGCACACCAGGATTGCGGGCTCACATGCGCGACGTCGAACACCTTCGGGTCCCACACACGATCGTCGCCGCGGGCCAGCATGTCCTCAAAGGCGTTGCGACGGGGACTTTCTTCGGCGCCGTCACGGACGACAATGGGACCGACCGGCACGTCTCCTTTTGTGTCATCTTGGTACCAGGGCTGAGCACCAACCTCTTCTCTGTGACATTGGCGATGCTAAAGGGGGAGGCGACGTTGGTTCATCCGGACGATCCCAGGTTGGAGTCGGGGGACGTGGTTATCCCCATGCAGACCCTCGGGGTAGACACCACGACCGGAAAACGTATCTACTCCATCGAGGTGAAGCTAGGGGGTGAAGCTGGGGGCCCGATGGTCCTCGAAGACGCCCCTGATGCCCTCGCCTTGAAGGTGGAGTCCGCTGATCTCTGGCACCGGCGCATGGGGCACATCAACGGCAAGAGGTTGGACGTTCTAAGGAAAGAACCGGTCAACGGCGTCGACTACACCGGAGACGTGAAGGACTGTAGTGTCTGCCCGCTCGGAAAGAGCGCACAACAACCTCACCCAAAGCAGGCCACCTACGGCGTCCTGCGCCCCTT